AACTTTAAGCGGATGAAATTCGTTTTCTATACGTTCATGATAATACGCGTAAAAATTGTAATGTATTTCATATAAATCACTACATGATATTTCTTAAGCGTTTTAGTAGAAAAAAGTATAAATTTGTAAACTGAAGTTAGTGAATAATTTAAAATCATTGTAAAACAATAGGTAATAAATTATTTTTAATGGATGCTTACTCATAAATACAAACATAGAATACAATTATTAAAAAAAATCATTATAACTTATAATAATGAAAATAGAATATTTGAAAATTTTGTAATGATTGTGATAATTGTATAAATGATGTTGGTATTCTGAAATTGGTATACAAATTCTATACGAGATCTTATTCATCCAGCTGCAAATTTTTTGTTTGTAATTTTTTTAACAAATTAGCTCATAACTAGAAAGAAAAATTCAAAATCACATAGAATATTTTTGGATATACAACCTATTGAAACTAAAAATCTGATTTCTAGATTTGATATTTAACTTATCATCAAAAAAGTGTTAAACAGAAATTCACTTTAAAAGTTTTGAATGTGATGAATGTTGTAAAAGAGTGATTATTGTACAAAAAAAAGCTTATTAAAATATCTTACAAACCGATTTTAATGATCCTAAACAATGTTACTTATCTAGATACACGACAAATGGTGTGAAATTCTACCACATTTAACATTAATGATTTGTCTTATCTTTTATTTCTTGCTTAGCTTTTACTAATGGTTTTTATCGTTTGTAAATAAAAGAAAAATATTATTTTAAATCTATTTTTTTTTTAAACGTAAATTCCTAGTTACTGCGACGCCAATTATTTATTTTTCTAAGATAGTTATAATTTTAAATTATAAATGGTAATAGATGGTAAAATGGTAATAAAATAGTAGTAGAAAATATATTAACAAATGAAAATCTAGCTAAATTAAAATAGTTTTATGTTGTAAACATTGAATTCAATTGTATACAATATGATGATTCTCTTAATAATAACTAATTGTCATAATCTAATGTATTATTATAATATATAATATAATAATATCAATATAAAAAAAAAACATTTTTTGTTTGTGGATATTAAGTCCACTTTCAAACTTAGTCACACACCTCTACTCTCTAACTAATATAATCAAGCAAAATAGGCACAAAAATCAAGAATCAGAAAATTAAAATACACTTAACTACAAAACAAAAACTATTTCAAAACTCTTTTGTTACAGGGGCGTCATATTTATATAATGCATTAATAGACTGATCATCATAATCATCTGACTTTTTGCGATATTGTTTAAGTTAAAAACATTATATTAGGCTAAAATANGATATTGTTTAAGTTAGAAACATTATATTAGGCTAAAATATTTCCCTCACGAACGAATCGTTGATTTTTCAAAACTCTCTCGAAAAGTTTACAGTATAACGGTTTTATTACACTTGTTGCTGGGTCGGCTGAAAACGCATGCGCTTTCATTATGTTCCATATTTCAATTCTATACAATTCAATTGAGTTTCTCTGTTTGAGGAAATTGAAACCAACAAATATTTCCAAGTACAAAATTTCGTTAAAAGTTTTTATTGTATGAAACCATTTGACAGACTATACATTTAATATATGTTGTATATTTTAGTCTACAACAACTGTAATTAGAAAAATAGATAACAGTAAAATAGCTATAAGAACAGTTTCTTTATAGAATGCCATATTATTATTGCTCCCTTTGAGCACAATCCCTTATGGCCGAAACGCCCACACATAATAAAGTGAACTGTGTTCGGTATCACCACCGCCCATATCGAATAAACGTACTCTGTTGTTTTTATATGTTTATACGTGTGGTGGTTTTGTAATATATAAAGACTGTGTACTTTCGGCACGGCAAATCGATAAAAATCGTGAAGTGAGAGAAAAGTGAACGACGTAAAATGAGAGAAGCGAATAGAAAAAAGTAATTTTCGTTAGCCAACAACAACCATGAAACAGCTTAGATATACAAAGTACTCTCATGCAACGTTAGTCACTGTAACGACAGAAGCAATTGTTGCATTGCGTTTGGCTACTATGTTTGCTAGGTGACAGGAATTGACCAACGTAACTGTCACAACAACGACAGGGATTTTAAATTTGTTATATTTTAGTACACTCAAATGTAGATAAATGATTTTTTTTTTTTAGTTAATTTTAGTTGACTTTTATACTGTTCCATTCATACTGTGGAATAGAAAATGATTTTCTGCAGAGAAAAAAATTGATTAAAAACAATTTTAAGGTGTAATCACTAATAAATAAAATAATTTTTTGCAAAATTGAACGGTAAAATCAATAAAGATACAGTTACTACTATTTTTACTGAGAGCAGTAGTTAAGATTTTATGTTTTTTTATCGCAAAATTCAGTCATAAAAAAATTAATTTAAAAATAATAAATTTCAGTATTTTATCAACATAATCATATCATCTAACACTAGGACTCTGAATTTTTGTCTTCATATTTTTTTAACAGTAATATTGTCAACAAAAAATTGTACACACAAGTCTTTTCCACTAAAGTAAACCGTCAAAATAAATTATTTTATACTAATAAAAAAACATCACTTTCACAACAGTCCTCTCATTTCCCTTCCAATGAAAATTCACTACCACACATTTCCTAGCATAAATAAAAAATAACAATTTTATTTACATAAACTAATTAATTAAACAATGTATAAACAACATTTATTTCCCAACACAAATATATATATATAACTTTTATTCTTATAGACCATTACATTTTTTTTTTATATATATAATGATTTAATGCTTGTAAGAGTATAGAGAAGAGCGTTGTACTCTAGAATAATTTTTGTGCAATCATATTTAGTTTCTTAAAAAAAATGAATAATTCATTTGGACTATCTTTGTAAATTATAATCAAGTTAACACACTACACTTTTTTAATTCATCCTAAAATAATATTTATTCTTTAATTGTTTTAGTAATAATATTGTTTTTGTGTATAATATAATCAATGAACATTTATAAATTCAGTGGTATTAATTTAATGATTATGATTTCCCTTACATCGATTTTACTGCATAAAAATAATTAAAACACAAAATCCTAGAACTCCAGAATTGTACTTTCTTCCTTACAGCAAAATTCATCGATTTCATCACTAATTGACTTATTATAAAAGAATTTGTGACTTTTAAATAAGATGGAAAAACTTATACTGTAAAATCTATCCAGTAAAAACAATACAAAGTGTTCAGTAAGCAAGGAAACTGATCATTTGTTACAAACAATGAGAACAATAGAAACCCGTTACTTTACTTATTGAACACTCTATATATCAGCTTAACTAAAGCTATTTATCTTGAAGAAATCTGTTTTTGGCGAAATAAAAAAAATCACACAAAATAGATTATGAAGTTAACATAAAATATTATAGTACCATCCGAAGAAAAAGTCTATGATACATTAAGCTAGGGATAAAATACAAAACGCACTAAACGAATCTAGAGTTTTCAGTGTATTTTTGGTTTTATTACAAATACTCAACTACAACTGCTCAAATTAATACGATTTATTTTTTTATTATGTTTGCTGGTCAAAATAATTTTATATGAAAACATATTCTGATTATATTTTACTATAAATATAAAAAATTATAATTTAATAATTATAATAAATATAAATTTTAGTCATAGGCAAATGTTATTTTGTATGAATTCAAAAAGTAATTATACTAAACGTATTATAAAGCATTTGAATTTTTATTTAAATCATTCTCCATTCAATGGTAAAAAATAATAATTGGTTCCTATTTAATTTTCGAAAGTTACTCCAAAAATGGTACATTATGTATAATTTTTTCTTACATTAAACTTTATATCTATATATTATGGTTTATTATAATAAATTAAATTTTAATTTGTACATTTTTGTGAAAAAATTATTTAATGAAAAATGGGGAAGTATTATTCGCAATAAATTATACTGTATATAATATACATAATATTTCAATGACATATTTAATTTCACCTTAAGGTTTTGAAACACCAATACCGGAATGTACTAACATTGCATATACAAAACGCCGTTTTATTATTTTTTAATCGAATTTTCACATTTATGTATTGGAAGTTTTTAACGCATACTAAGTAAGGTAAAATTTGATGATAAAAATTTTAGTTTTTAGTACGAATCTTCGATACGTTATGTTTAAATTACACTATTTGTGTATTTATTTAATTATGATAATTTTATCATATTGATGTATAGGAAATATTTTTCGTACATTGAAATTCCTCATAAAAAGCAATCTCTTGCAAAAGAACAAAGCTACCTACAACTGTTTTTTTCAAAACAATGTCGGTGTAAAGTAAAGACTGTGTATAGCTCAGATGTTAACTAAATATGGTAACCAAACAGGGAATATTATGTAAAATAGTATACAAATTTAGAATGATTAAAGGATTCCGAATTACAGACACAATACAATATTTTTAGAACATGGGTCAAGTAGTAAATTCGGTTATATATTATAATAACTCTACGTTATGCGAACTCTGCATCTTATTTTACTTGTTTTATTTGTATAAAACGTGTACTTTTTTAATATTGGGAAGAAATGTTTTGTATTATTTTCATCGATCAATATTCCAATTCCTTTTACTACCTTTAAAACTTAAACATAAATCCAACTTTTACATAAAGAAATGAAAAACTTTAATATTGCACGCTACCGTATTTACATTAAGCGTAATATTTTATAATTTTAACATTTCGATAAAATATCTCACTGAAAAAATATTTTCATCATTTTATATATAGATTTAAAAATTTAATTATAAAATAACTCGTTGGATTAAGGCGCGTTAATTTTATCAAACTAAATAACATGCTTTGTACATAACAATTTCATAAATAAATATCACTAAATTGAATCAGTAGATAAAATAAAATTTGATATAAATATATTCATGAACAGAATATATGTATGTTTATTATAGGTAATTATCAAAACGCAGTGAACAAACCAATTGAAGTCGATAAAGGTGCTCTTGCAGGTAATCGGTTGAAATGCGTAGGCCAACTAGTGGTTTAATTACAATATTATTTTGTGAATATAATTTTAAAGTGGATTAAGAAATTTAGAGTAGATTAGACTAAAATATAAATTTTTATGAATGTACGTAGAAAAATTAGAAAATATTTCTTTTAGAAAAATAGCATGCGTTTTATTTTTAAATCGTTAATATTTAATTATAATGGGTTAAAATAACTTACTGCGGTACGATTTCTAAATACATTTTGAATTCTATTCAATTATGTTAGTTCTTGATTTTGCTAACAACTAGTTTACAAAATTAACATAAAAGTAAACATTTTTCATCTTAAATATTAAGCAAACTTATAAGTTTTTCAAATTACTACTTTTATCAGTCAGAACAACAGCCATTTACACTTATACTTAATTATTTTTCAGTGTTGCACTTTAATGAGAGTAATACAAACAATATACATCAGAACTTGAGAATAATGAATGCATTTTTCTTTTTTTGGTTGAATCTTATTATTGATACAGGCATTTTTATCATAATGTAAATTGGCTTTCGAATAAAAACGTTGTCATTCTTTTGATTTATAACTGATTTCGAATATCAAAAAATGTTGACGTTCATCGTAATTTACAACTGAGATTTGTGTCTACTCGTTTATCTTAAATATCGTGTATCATGATTGATATATATTTTTACTTACACTATATGTTACTCTTCAAAAGATTTTAAAACATGGATTTCTTATACAAAACAATTTTATCTGTAACCCTTTTGCATTTATTTGAATATCGTTAAAATGCAAAACGTGTATACTATTACAGTACGGGCTCAATTGTCAAAACGTGTAAATAAATAAATTCAAGACTAAAAATATTTCTTTTACTTTAATAACAAACAAACATTATTAACACTTTTAAGTATCATTAATATATACATTTTATCGAAATGTACAGGTACATAATAATTATTACAGTTATTACTAAATTAATGATATCCAGTATAGATTTTTTTTTAAGTTCAACACGGTCATCAATTATTTTTAATTAAATATAATTGTAATCGTCATATATAGTAAAAGCATCGCATGACGCTCCAATTTCATCATAAATGTTATANACATTTTATCGAAATGTACAGGTACATAATAATTATTACAGTTATTACTAAATTAATGATATCCAGTATAGATTTATTTTTAATTAAATATAATTGTAATCGTCATATATAGTAAAAGCATCGCATGACGCTCCAATTTCATCATAAATGTTATATGAACCCAATTCCGACGAACTTGTGTTAAGCACTCTCTAAATGTATGAGTAGATATTTACATTTATAAAATAATCCCGAAAAGCTATAGCTTTTTTTTATTTTGATATCAAATACATATTTTAAATAAAATTAAATGTCATGGAATACACGTATTCATTAAAAGTGTATTTTTTATAACGTTTATCATCACTCTCCTGTCCTTTTTTCACATTAAACACTACTTTGAATTATGTAGGTTAAACTTATTCAATTTTAATTATAGAATACAAATTATGTGATGTTGTTGAATACTGTGTCTTTTATATGAAAACAACAAAAAATAATAAAATATGAGAAGGTTTAGCAGTTAATTAATTTTTTAATTAAACAATTAAAGAGAATATAATCGAAATATTATTTTCAAATGCATTCTAATATGACGAATTCAAAATGCCAAATAGGTGTAAATGCTTTGTAATATGTGAACAATATAAAGCCTCTATTTCTAAAAGAAACATTCAAATATTTATAACTTCTAAGTCATATCAACGCACTCAGATAAAACCGAATAATTAATTAAATAATAAATACTCATTTATTTCAATAAGAACTCAACGAAAAGCCATATGTATCCAGTCCATTACATTGTTTTCAGTATGTCTTGTTTGCGACTTGAATTTCTCATGAGCTTGTCTTAAAATAATATTCCCGGGAGAACAATATTCACCCACGAGCAAAAACTAGGGATACGGTTGCTCAATTCTAAGATACGTTACGTGATCGAGTTATTCACCTTGACGTTGTAAATTATATTATTCCGTCTCTTAGCAATATAATACATGGCCGTCGTTTTTTATGCTTACGTTAAATTAAATTTACCGTGTCACTTTGTTTACCGCGGGATAAAAAGATATTTTGTATGAATCATTTGACACATCAACTCGAGCGCAGGCCGTAGCTACGGAGGCTACGAATTTGTACTGTTAATAAATGATCAAAAGAAAATTGGTGATAAAACTCATAACTCACAGTTATAAATGTGTAAAAAAAACCGTAAAGATTTTATTATTCATTTATACGCGCAAAAGTTGCGAATTAAAGTACAATTTTATTATACTAGGTAATAAATTTGAAGAAATATGTGTTCGTAAATAAAAACTACCGTCTTCGAAAAAAAGTAACTCTGTTGTTTTAAAATTACAACATATAATGTGAAGATAAACTTGAATATTTTACAAATACTTGATTCGATATGTCAGTAACACAGGCAAATAATAAAAGAACACTACAGAAAAATATGGAATTGTGTCTTAACATATTACAAAGAGCCCAAAATATCAAAACAATTTTAGTTAAATGCTATTTTTAAGTCATTTTTCAACTTATATAAATAAAAAATATAAGGAGTAAAATTCGAAAATAATAAATAACAAGGAAGCAAATTCTCACTAAGAAGGTTAATTTTTTCTAATTTAATTAAAAACATAACTCATTATGTTTTAAACACTAAGTTACAATGTAAAACAAGAGTCATTACCATAAAATACTGTGGTCTGTAAATAAAATTATTAAAGTCCGATAACAATAATAAATTTTGCGTGTATAACATCAATTCAAAAGTATGTTACATTCGGTGGCGTATTTTAAAATTTGATAGCAAGAGATAATAGAATTTACCACGTCCCTTTAAAAAAAATGTTTAAAAAAAAATTCCTTAATATTAGTACTTATTTCACTCATATTTATATTCCTTAATTCAAAAGCCAAAGTTTTTAATGTTTAATTTACTTCATTTAAGCCTTTACTATAAATTTCTACCTAGTAATATTCTTTCTTATTAAAAAAAATTAAGAGATAGAATTGCCAAAAAATTGTTTTTTAATGACTTAAAATGTACACAAAAATAATTTAAAATCTGTTGAACATAAAATAAAGTTATAAATTAAAAAATATAAGTTTTTTGAAATTATTTTTGCATTAAAATAATAAATTTTTATTTTGAATGTACAAAATAATCAATATAACAACAATACTTGCATAACTTATTGAGCTAGTTAACTAAAGTTCTTCGTAAGGAATAATTCATTTAATTTCATTTAATCTAAAAATTCTTTGTGAAAAAGGAATATTTATATCAAAACAAAGTTTTTAATTCAATATTATTTTAGACAAGGACAATCATAATTTTTTTCCATCTGATTGTTGATTATTTACCTTATTCTTGTTTTTTTTTTAAACAAATTTTAATTTGAGGTAATATGAAAGATATTTTAATTTTTTCCTATAACTAGATTTTTTTTTATCTTAAGTAGCAAAGTAATAAAAATAATATTTTTTTCTTTTTCAATCCCGGACAGTTAACAAATTAATCATCACAAGAATACAAACAAAAATAATTTTACAAAATTGCAGTAAGCTTTAAAAAATTATTTTCATTTCATTAGTATTATCAAAATTTTAGAATGTAAAACTACTTTTTTGTTACACTAATGAAATTAAAAACGGTGACACAACGGGGTCGCGGGATAGTATTATTAGTATTAGTAAAAAATTATTAAATAAAGAGAAAATTACTATAAGTGACCATGTCAAATAAAATATTCAGTGTAAAAAAACGGTAGCACAGTGAAGTCGTGGGACAGTATGCACGTAGCATAGTTGGAACAAGTATAAATGATATTTAATATATGAATATATTTATATAATATATTCATGCAAATTTATACTTAGTGTATTATTTTAAGAAATTGGTGGATTATTCTAAAAGCAACAAAAACTCCTATATCCTTAATTATATCTTGATAAGTAGTTCTTTGGTTTAGAAGTTTAATATATGAATAAAAACTTAGTAATTCATAGTTTTAATTATAGTAATAAATCTTAGCATAAAATTGATATTTAACAAATTTAATATTGTAATTTTTACAAAGAAATTATAAAAAATTATAAAGTAGTTGTATATTTCTATGACAAACATTTATAGAAATTGAAATTCTTGGTGCAAAACTGTTCAGAAGATAATTTTTTTGTTAATTATGAATAAACACACTGGTCTACAAAGAGATTTCTTCAAATTTAGCTAAAAAGAATTTAAAAATTCAAAACATTTAAATTATAAACTTTCATAAATATCAACTCTAAAGGAATAAAAAAATAAGTTAAACATGATAATTTGAATCGATATTTAGCACGAATAATTTTTAATATATTAAAAATCAAAACCAATAATAACTTAAAAGCAAATATCTTTTTGTTTTAATTTTTTTTTTTATGTCTTCTTCTTTTTGCTCTTTACCTTTATCCCAACTACTTGAGGTCGGTAACCCTTATCCTAAACTTCTACTTGACACAATCTCCCACATCATCTATGCACACATCAGCTGTCCTCATATCGCATTCAATAGCATCATTCCATCTCTTTTTCGGTTTTTCTCTACCATTCTTCTCTCAGCATTAATTTCAATAACTGTTCATATAACTTTGGATTTCTCTCTCCCCATAAAATGACCAAATCATCTAAGATTTGCTATTTCTATTCGTATAAATTTTTTGTGGTATTCACTTTTAAAATATTAAAATTCAGTATAGAATTAAATTTTAGATGAACGAGTCGTACAAAATATTGTGTCATATACCAATGTCGCATGATATAATACAGAAAAAATTGTTCATTTTATATGCATATCGTTACTGCAATACATATTATTTATTGTACTTACACATCCGAAAGGTCAACCAATTTAACTGATTTTCTA